AAATTTTCGTAACACCGTCAATCATACAATTATAATAAGTGAAGATTTTAAATAGAATTTAAATAAATTTAAATTAAATTAATTACTATTAAAATTAAATTAAAAAATAGAAACTATTTAGAGTTTCCAAGAAAGTTGATATATTCAGTGCATTTTATAAATGGTATGATATAAATATATAATAAAATAATTAAATATCTTTTTAATTTGGAAAATGGTGACATGTTTTTTGATGATTTATTTTCACCAATCAATTTGCCACGTGGGATGAAATTGAATACATGTCACCAATTGAAATTGACAAATGTCAATCAATTAGGTGTGGAATTCAACTTTTATATATTATATAGATTAAGAGTGCGCTTGAGTCCACCCTTGCGGTTTGAAATCTAGTTGAATCTTTTAGATTATGTGGAATATTTTCAATTTTGGACACGTTTTATTCCATTCGAGCTCCACATTTTGATGTTAGATCATGATCATAAGATATTAAACATATGTTTATTGGCTTGTATATATCAAATTGTGTGCATCAGAAACTATATTTTTGCACAAAACGAGTAGAAACTAGAGAACATTCCACGGAATCTATATGATTATGTTAAATTTGACACCATAAAAGTGGAGATGTAAGAAGATTCATAGTTGAACAGGTTATATATAATTATTTAAATATAAAAATATTTTTTTTCGTAATTTAACCATACATCACGAGTGGTTGTAATTTACCCTATATATTATAATTCTCCCGGTACATTACACGTAGCGTTAATTACAAAAGAAGGGATGGCAAAAAAATTGGTATACGTAATATGTAAAGCTGCTTTTTCATGCACATATTATGGATATTATATTCAAAAGTCAACGGTCCACATATAATTTCATAAAAATATTATTTTAAATTGTAATCCCATTAAAATATGAAATCATAATAAAGATTCAATAAATCTGCAGTTCATTATAAATAAAGAGAACAACAATGTAACTTAGCCCTCACACATTGCTTCACAATATAATACAAAAACATTAATTTCTTGTCAATGAAAGCCTTGAAACAAGACATGTTTGTTACATCTGCACTACCAATATTGCTTCTCATGATGCTCGTCGCATCATCAAAAGCAATATTCTTCGATAAAAAGAACGTCACGATACGTAACGAAATTCCAGGCGAAACTATCAACATCCAGTGCTATTCGTCGGAAGACAATCTTGGATCGCACGACCTCGCCTACGGCGCAAGTTACTCTTGGCACTTCCGCGTCAACCTTTGGGGTACTACCAAGTTTTGGTGCGATTTTACTACGAAACATGGGTCCGGGAATTACGGCGTCTACACTAGGAATTTGGATGAGTTATGCAACGGGTTGTTTCAATGGTTAGTGAAGGAAAATGGACTGTGCCTAATAATGGATGCACTCGATGATCAATTATATTGCCAACGCTGGAAGAAGCCGCCGAGTCTTCTCTAACTACTTCGTGCCGTAAATTAAATCGAGTAATAATATATATGATCGATATGCAGATATATATTTATATAAACAACTTTATTAATTCAAGCTTTGAGAGATGTATTATCTGGCTAGTGTATTGATCAAATAAATCATATTGCAAGATGGTTAATATTGTTAATTAATGTTTCTTGCTAACATAGTCGCTCCTACCTTTTTTTTTCATCAATAATAATTTTGAAGAAAGTTTATTAATAGTTTCATAGAATATATTAATAATATGTAAATTAACAAAAATATGGGGGTATTTTCGCAATTCAATCAGAGAAAATATACTTTTACTTTTTTTTTTTTTTGTAAGTTTCTATTTTTTCTTTAAATTATCATGATGTTTTTTAATAGAGCAAGAACAAAATGAATTATGTTCTTATATCAAGGAAATGGTAATTATTTTATGATCATCTCTGTTGGTCACCTTAATGATTTAGTTTTCTAAGTTGACATGCATTGCAAATTTAGCATTTTTTTGTCTTATTTGGCTTGATTTTCTTTCATTTTAGTCGTTGGATAATGGTGTGACAAAACAAATTCGCCATAATTTATTTTATATATATTATTAAAAAAAGCATAAATTACGGCCAACCCCTGAGGTAGGTTAAACTACGAAAAAATTCCTCAAGTTTGAATAATTACAATCACTCCTAAATTATATGGAATATTCTTCAATTTGTACACATTTTACCTTATTCGAGCTCCACATTTTGAAACAAGATGATCATAAGATGTGTCTCTTATTTTGTAAATATGTAAATATCAGATTGTTGTGCATTAGAAAGTGCATGTTTGCACAAAACGAGTACAAATTAAAGAATATTCGACAAAATCTAATTAAAAAATCTATTAAATTTGTTCCTATAAAGATGACACATAAGAAGATTTATAATCAATGGATGGTTGTAATTATCTAAATATATAAATCTGCTTTTTCATGCACATATTATGAACTTTTAAAAGTCAAAGGTAATAATTTCATAAATCTGTAATAAGATAATAGGAAAATTCTTGACTGCAGTTCAATATAAATAAACAGAGCACCACTGCTTCACAATCATAATATATACACATATATCAAATAATTGCCAATGAAAGCCCTCAAACAAAACATGTTTGTTATATCTGCACCACAAATATTGCTTCTCATGATGCTCGTCGCATCATCAGAAGCAGTATTCGAGAAAATACACGTCACGGTAGGTAACGACATTCCAGGCGAAACTATCAACATCCACTGCTATTCGACGGAAGACAATCTCGGATCGCACGACCTCGCCTACGGCGCAAATTTCTCTTGGGACTTCCGCGTCAACGTTTGGGGTAGTACCAAGTTTTGGTGCGACATTACTACAAAACATGGGTCCGGGAATTACGGCGTCTACACTAAGCATGTGGCGGTTTATTGCAACGGGGTGTTTCAATGGTTAGTGAAGGAAAAGGGACCGTGCCTAATTATGACCGAACTCGGTAATAATCTATATTGCCAAGACTGGAAGAACCCGCCGAGTCTTCTCTAATCATTTCGTGCCGTAAATTAAACCGAGTAATAATGATATGATATGAAGAGATATGTATTTACATTATATAATTTATATTTATATAAACAAATTTATCAATTCAATTCAAGCTTTGAGAGATGTAGTAAGTGTATTGATTAATTAAATCATATTGTAAGATGGTTAATATTATTAATTAATGTTTCTTGCTACATAGTCGCTCTTACCTTTTTTTTTCATCAATATTAATTTTGAAGAAATTTTATTTAATAGTTTCATAGATAATATTAATACATAAATTAACAAAAGTATAGGGGTATTTTTGCAATTCAATCAAAGAAATTATACTTTTACATTCGTTTTTTAACTTTATATTATTTTCTTTAAATTATCCATTATGTTTTTATTACAGCCATCCCCTAGGTAATGTTAAATTACGAAAAAAAACTCTTCATATTTGAATCCTCTTACACGTCCACCCTTGTGGTGTTAAATTTAGTGGAATCATCTAAATTATGTGCAATATTCTCCAGTTACTACCCGTTTTTTACCCTATCCCAACTCCACATTTTGAAATAAGATAATCATAAGATGTGTCTCGTTTTTGTAAACATCAGATTGTTCATCAAAAACTGCATTTTGCACAAAACAAATACAAATTAGAGATCATTCCATAAAATCTAAAAAAAATTACTAAATTTCATATCATAAGTATGAACATGTAAGAAGACTCATAATTAATAGGTGGTTAATTACCCAAATATCTAAAGTTGTTTTTTCATGCACATATTATGGATTTGTAAAAGTCAACTGTAATTAAATTTCATAAAAATAATATTTGATGTAATCCCATGAAAATATGAAATCATAATAAGATTCAATAAATCTGTAATAAGATCAAGCAAATTTCTTGATCTGCAGTTCAATATAAATAATCATAATATATATATATATATATATATATAGATATAGATATATATATATCAAATAATTCCCAATTCATTTCTTAATAATTGCCAATGAAAACCCTGAAACAAAACAACTTTGTTATATCTACACCACAACTATTGCTTCTCATGATGCTCGTTGCATCATCAGAAGCAATATTCGAAAAAATAAACGTCACGATAAGTAACGACATTCCAGGCGAAACTGTCAACATCCACTGCTATTCAACGGAAGACAATCTTGGATCGCACGACCTCATCTACGGCACAAATTTTTCTTGGAGCTTCCGCGTCAACGTTTGGGGTACGACGAAATTTTGGTGCGACTTTACCACAAAACATGGATCCGGGAGTTACGGCGTTTACACGAAGAGTTTGTCTGTTTATTGCAACGATTTGTATCAATGGTTAGTGAAGGAAACCGGACCGTGCCTAATAATGACTCGGCTCGAGAATCGTCTATATTGCCAAGAATGGAAGAAGCCGAGTCTTCTCTAAGTATTTCGTGGTGTAAATTAAACCGAGTAATAATATACGATATGCAGATATAGATTTACATTATATTTATATAAACAACTTCATTAATTCAAGCTTTTAGAGATGTATCTAAGCTAGTATATTGATAAAATAAATCATACTGTAAGATTGTTAATATATATTGTTAATTAATGTTTCTTGCTACATAGTCGCTCTTAACCTTTTTTTCATCAATATTAATTTTGAAGAAATTTTATTTAATAGTTTCATAGAATGCATCAATATGTAAATTAACAAAAATATAGGGGTATTTTTGCAATTCAATCAAAGATATTATACTTTTACAACTTTGCATGTAATAACTTTGAAGTTTGGCCCGTTGATTAATAATTTGGCTATTTTTATTTTCTTATGAATGTTCGTCTAACTTAGTTTATAATTAAACTCGTCTTCTCACATGATCAGAGTTATATCAAAACTAAACTAGATCGTGAACTTATAATTTTTTATATAAGTGCCTATATACACAATTTTTGTTAAGATTATTTGCTGCGTTATAAAAATAAAAATTCAAGTGTTCTAGGATCAATAGCGCTAGATTTGCAAAATTATTGCATGTAAAATTGAAATACGACAGATATAGGACTAAATTTCTAATCGTAAAGGACTAAAATTACAAGTTTCCCTCTTTATCTATATAATATATCCATAGGATGACTTCAGTCACCAAGCTTGTTCTTTTTCGGTAACGGTCCACACGAAGTAACAGAAATCTTACTCGAGACGGTGTTACTTTTCACAACACTTTTCGTAACAAGATTCACATAATTTGTAATAAGATTGCGCAAAGTTATCTTGGTTTATTATAAAAACATCACGGCTCTTTAAATTTACGCAAACAATATTACTTATGATGCTGGTCGCATCAGAAGCAATATTGGACGAGACAGTTGTTACGGTGACTAATGTAATTCTAGACGAAACTAACCATGGTTCCGGGATGTATAGAGTATTTACCAGGAGATTAGATGATCAATGTGATGACTACTGTCTCTGGTACATAAAGTCAACTTGCCAATGCCCGGAGCAGACTGCCGAAAATGGAAGTCAACCCCTCCATCCCCATCTCCATCTCAACTCTTTCATCCTTGGTAGAGAAATCAAGCAAGATTAAACAAGTTATTCTATTAAATGATCAAGAAAGTCAAATGTATATATATGGAGATCGATGCAATAAAATTAGATAAAAAAAAATAAGAAAAACCAAATTTGCAAACGTATAGTAAGAACGATGCTCCTTTCACTGTGTCTATATATTGTACAAGGATTACATGAAGATGTAATAAAATAAGTGACATGACGTGCTGCTAAAATAAAAAAAAAATTAAATAAAATAAAAAAAAAAACGTTGGGTTCTACTATGACATAAGAAAAGGAATATCCACATGGAGGGGGGAATTGGACGAGCCCTCATATGGTCGATCATTTTTCTTCAAATTCAACATCGATGATATCTGGTTGAGATTTTGAAGAGGAAGTATTTGAACCTCTGTCGCCTCTCGAGAAAAAGTCGTTTTTTGGTTGCCAAACAGTATTTCCACAACTTGCACATCTTACAGTTTGGCTCTTATATCCAACAAATGGCTTCCTACAAGCTGGGCATTCTCCCTGCTCGGATAAAATTAATAGAGTGAGGGGGATGGTAAAATTCTCCACGTAGAAAAAAAGGTGGAAATGTAAATAAAAAACTCAAGAAAGAAGCAAGCATGCAAAAAAACAAACAAAACAAAAGGGACAATAAGTTGAACTTCAAATGGAAAAGCATAGCAAGGGGAGTGCACAAAAGTTTCCCATAAGAGGAAGAAATGACGAACTCTTTAGCATACGTATATCATTTACCTGAACACTTTAAAAAAGGTACATAAAATGAATTGGCTTACAGAACAATTTATAGAATTTTCAAACCTTAGTGCATTCACCATGATATCTTCGGCAGCTAGCAATCAATTCAATAGTTCATAGCTTATAGTGTCTTTAGATAGGTGTTCGGTTTGTTTCACACATTTATCTAGTTCGAATATTCACAATGATTATGCCGTACATGATATATCATTCTAAAACCAAAACCTATTTAAGCAAATCGTGATTGAAGGAACTTAAGGCAATCCAGTAGGAAAATTATCTAAAAAATTGTCGAAGAAAATGCAAAAAAGAAAAACTTTACCTTAATGACGAGGTTATTTGCTATAGCCCCAATTAAGAGAGGACCAGCAAACGGCAGTACCCACGTGGCGAAAATTAAAAACCGGAATAGCCAACCAGAAAGAGCAAACCATAGGAAGAAAAGCGTCTGCCAAGAGATGTATTCACAGTCACAAGTTAGAGTGCAGATACAAAAAACTACAAGATTTTCATATCTAGTTTCATCGACATACAGAAAAGGCTCTGGTACACCAAATGAATCCACTTAATCAGCACATGAACAAAGCTCTGATTCGGCAATTCACAAAAGAGGAAGTGCTCTGTAAATGCAGAATGCCTAATAATGCAGTTTCATTTGGCAATTTTTCATCTACTAAGCTGTGATTTGATAATTTGGTATGTGCATACACAGATAATAATACCGGAAGCACCAAAAGCGATTTATAAATGCCGAATGAGAAGCATGAGATTCACAATAGAGGAAGTTAGAACAATACATCCACAGAATTTTCTTTTTCTTGATCAAAATATACAACTATTTACAGTCCCACATACGAATCTGCAAATTTGTGTTACAATCAATAAGTTCACAAAACCATAGAACAACCAAATGACTGCGGAACTAAGTGCCACACTTCTCGGTATCGTTTTAACAACGGAATCGTGAAAAATCCAAATACCATACTTCACCCAAAATACAACTTCAAAAAAAAAAATGTTGAGTGATACTTACTGCAAAGCTCCTTCCCAAAGGAGTATCCAGAAAATCATTGAGCTGCTTCCTGTACTGAAAACAAATTAAATAGAAAATTAAGTATTATTAAACAGCTATTTTCGTTCCCAATTAACATTACAATTTCCAATACTATGTTACACCAATCAAAATCAACACCAAAATTCTGCCATATCAACAGTAATCAATATAATTATACCCTGGGCAAATTTCTAGTGAAATCTAGCGAAAACGTCCGCCACCGCTGAGTAATCTCGAAATCGCGGTCAAGCTCACGCGCTCGGTCGGCAGCTGACTGCGCCACAACTGAGAACCGTCCGGAGACATCATACCTCCGGTCAATTCGCTCCGCTGTCTTCCTCGTCTCGTAAACGAACAGTTCGAACCCGTCGTTGGCGCTCCGCCACGCGCTACGCCACAGTTCACCCGACCTCACGCGCTGCGCGAATCCGTCGATGTCGCTGCGCCCGAAGGCGCGTATAGTGGCGGCGCGGCGAACCGGAACAATATTCGGCCGGTAAAAACTATGTTTTTGAGGTTTCGAGGTGAGTACAGGGTGCCACGGCAGGCTCGACGCCATGAACAACGAAAATGGTGAGCCGAAGCTTTTACAGAGGAAGTGATTTCTTCTCGCTTTTTTTCTTCTTTTTTGCCCTTTCTCGTGGTTCGGGTAGAATTGAAGGTTTGGAAGGGACGAGTCCACAGAAGTATGTAGAAATTGTGATTTGGCCCCCCAACTTTTAGGATATTCTAATTTGTGCTGGATATAGAGACAACCCCATCAATGAGATGTGTACAGTCTGCTAATCACAAGATTTTAAGTTTTAATTAATGGTTCAGTTTATTTTAATATTTTCGTTATAGTATGTTTAACATATTTTTAATTAAAATAAATGAATAATAAATATTAATAATACACAAGAATAATGAGATGTAAATGAAAAAATCCAGTAACTTTATCAACAAGGTCCAATTTAAGCTCAAGCCCAATAAGGTGAATTATAGTATATATATTAGACCATGGTTCCATGGCCTAGACCAAAAAAACTTACTTGACCCGACCCGACCCATGAAATATGTGGTAAAAGTAACGTCCGAACATCTTTTTTGACACATAGAATTAAACCCAGTGACATAGTGTTGTTTACATCTCTCGTACAATTTACGAGTTATTGTTACGATCACGGACGCTGATTGGGGAAAAAAAAGATTACAATAATTGTTTTGCACTATGAATTAAATTGATTATTATTTCCTAAATTAAAATTGTGGAATGCATCATTAATCATTTACACCATTCGATTAACCTTGATATCAATTGTTTGTTGACCAAAATACATTTATTTACTAGTGCCTTACTAGACACGGCCACGGGCCGGTTCCGGGCCGGTTCATACCGGTTCACGGTTCACTTTTTTCGGAACCGGAATCGGCCCGTAAGATGTACGGTTCGACGGGCCGGGTTGGCCCGCTGGTTCGGGCCGGTTCCGGGTCGGCCCGGAAAATTTGAATTTTTTTTTAAATTTTTTTTTGAAATATTTGATGAATAAGTAAATTATAGGAAAAATTGGGGTGGGAGGGTATTTATAGGAAAAATTGGGGGGGGGGGGATTCAAAAAAAAAAATAAATAACGGTCGGTTCACTAGCCGTTATTTGCTTTTTTTTTGAATTTTTTTTTTAAATCCGGGTGAACCGCCGGGCGGCCCGGCGGTTCACGGTTCACCATTTCTTAGAACCGGGGCGGGTAGGACGGGCCGGTTCACGGGTCCGGGCCGGTTTGGGCCGTCAACGGGCCGATTCGAGCCGGTTCTGGGCCCAAAACCGGCCCATGGCCATGTCTATGTCTTACTACTGCCAGATAATATGAAATAATAAAAAAATTCTTAAAAAAATGACAAATATTACAAAAGAAATGGAGTGAATATTTAATACAATTACTAAGTATATGAATCTAGAAGTCCTTATAGAGTATAGCTTACTCCTATATATGTTCTTTATATTTAATTTTAGATCAAATAAACCTTAATTATATTTTCCCAGCTTTAGAATGTTGTAGGTAAAGAAAACAACCCACTTCAATTCAACTAAATCATGACTAGTACTCGATTCAATTATTTATCAAACCAAATTAAAAAGATATTTTTTTTTTGAATTTCATAAAAATCCAAATAAATTTGAACAATCATGTCTTCAACTCGATTGGATTCGTGTACACGTCACCCATAATAAAACTCTATCAATTTGATTTGATAATGAGATCCATTTAAAATTATTTAAATTTAGTTTTTTAATTAATAACTTTAATAAATAAAAAAAAAAAAAAAAAAAAAAGAAAAAAGAAAAGTGAGCGTCGCTCCTCCAGCTCCACCCACCAGAAGGAAGGGTGAAGACCTGACCCCATATCCCCTCCGAAATCTGAATCCCATTTCCCCATAAATCAAATCAAAACAAAACCCCCAAATTTATTTCTTCACTAATTACAATTATCTTCTTCTCCAGTCCACCGATTTAATCTGTAATCCCCCTACCGACTAATCCGGCGCCGACAAATCCGATGGCAGACCCGCCGGAGGAATCATCACCCGTCGCCGGCGAAGTTTTCAGGCTTGTTGAGCAAGCCAAGGAGTTGCAGGATACGGCGTCGTCTCTGATCTCTCGAACCTCTCGCGATGAAGACGCGCTCCGCCAACGCGTCGCCACACTCGATTCCCGCATCAAATCCCTCCGAATCTCCAAACACGACGACAAAGTACGCTCGTTTTATATAGACAATAGCTATATACACACACCCATGCGAGTGTGTGTCACTGTGCGTTTTTCATTTAAATTAATATTTTTTTCTGAAAATTGCCAGTTAGAAGAGGAGTTGGTGCGAGCTAGATACGTATTGAGTGAAGGAGACGCAGCGGCATTTCTTCCAAGCAAATCTCATGGTTTGTCGTTTTCTCCATGTTTTAATTAGATTTATGCTCTCTTCTTATTTTCCTACAGTGAAAATGGACTTATTAATGCAGGGAGATTTTTGAGGATGTTTTTGGGACCAATTAACGTACGGGCAAACAGGAAAGATGTGCAGTTGAAAGTGAAGGAGGAATATAATAGTTTCAGAGTATGGTCTTATATCTAACCTTGTGATCTCACTTTATTTTTCTTTCTTATGTCAGTCATTCTATATCAATGGTGTTTTTCTTTTCTTTTTTTTTTTTTTTTTTTTTTTTTTTGTGTGTATGAGCTTATGCAACCAAGTTAATGAGCATTACATTGTTTTCTTCAATCTCCGATTAAGGAAAAGCATTTGTTTAAGCTCATCTTGTATCTCATGGCAGGACAGAACAGCATTTTTGTTCCTCTGTTTGCCGACTCTGCTGCTTGTTCTGAGGTCATGGATTTGGGATGGATGTCTGCCTGCATTGCCGGTTCAACTCTATCAGGTATATTTTTGCGAGATTTTCTCCTTCAGTTTTTTCCACGTTTGTTTCTTTTGCATTTTCCATTGTCAGAAAAGTTTAAAGTTTGTACCTGTGAACCTAATGTCTTCTTCCAGGCATGGTTGCTGTATCTCTACACTGGTCTGGCTTTAAGAGAGAATATCTTGAGAGTTAATGGAAGTGATATACGTCCATGGTAATTGAATACGGTTCAAACCCTTTCTTTTTATTAGAGCTGTGGCATCTTATTCTAGTGATAGCGCATTTTCTTTATGCTTATTTCTGTATCTTAAAAAATAGTTGCAATAAAACTTGCATTTCCAGTTGTCTTAGTGTGCACAGATGGGCAAATTAGGCAGCTTTTCCTGTACAAGTGTGTTTCAGACTTCCTACTTTTGCCGATGTAACTTTACTACATGAATAGATGCTTATATTAGGTACTTGTATAAGTGGGCGAATACAATTCCCCGATTTTATAATGTCGGAATGTAGTAAACAAGTTTTAGGCACCCTGGCCCTTTTCAGACCAAGTAGTCTATTGAGTGTTGCTTGATAGTATTCTATGCTACCTGTTTAATCCTAGATCTTGCACGGAAGACTTAATTTTGATTGTCCAGCAGTGCCTAGTAATGATAGGACAATTTCTCTACTGTACAGTTTGCTGCCTGTACAGTTGTCTCAACTTGGTGTAACGAAAAAAACTTACTTTTTATTGTTAGTTTGTAAAAGGCAGTAGATTAGTATATTGATTGTGATTTTACTTCTGCAGGTGGATTAAACATCATTACTGTGCTATGGCCATGGCTCTCATTAGTCTTACTTGGGACATAGAGAGGGGAACCGATTGTGCTCAGAAACAGGTAGTTTATGCATTAGCTTCTTTTCCTTCGCACAAACAAAAAACATATCTTATTTATAATATGACTGAAAGTGAAACGGTCATTGCAGAGAGGAGTAGAACTGTTCTTGAGATGGGCTATCATGCAAGGAGTTGCAATGATGCTTCAGAACAGATATCAAAGGCAGAGACTTTATACACGAATTGCACTTGGCAAGGTAATAATAATCTTTCGCTTCTTGTGCAATTATCGGTTTGCCCCCTTTCTTGAAAGACTATATAGACGAGTAGATATCGGTTAGTACGGACTTCTTGTCAATCATCTGGTTATTCTCGTCAATGTATTCCAATTTTTTTCTAAAAATGTTTCCAAATTCTGTTATGTAATGTGGAACAGGCAAAATATTTCTGTATTGACATTCTTTTTTTAATCGTAGGCAAGGAGAATGGATGTTGTTTGGGGAGAAACTGCTGGAGTGGAGGGTCAGTTACTGCTTCTGTGCCCTGTACTTTTTGTTTTGCAGGTATTTCTGAAATGCTTACTACTTCTTTAACATTTCTTTTTCTTTTGTGTGTGCGTGTGCGCGTGCTTGTTTTAGCAACATAGATTTTGCTTTGTTGATTTTGCTTCATCTTGTGGTAGCTACTCTTGTTATGTTTTTCGGATAGAGTGTTTGCCACAGAAGCTGTTCTAAGTTAGCACCGTGCTCCTTATTTTCAGGGTTTTGAAGCCTACATCGGGTTTTTGTTGCTTAAAACTGCACTTGCTGGATTCAGTTCAGATTGGCAGGTAGAATAATCATCTGAATTTTTGCTCAAGTACTTCCGATTACATTGACATCACGTTCCATTCAGATGCTAATATTTTCCTATTTCAGGTAATTACATGTGGAATACTCCTCATAATTATGGCCGTAGGGAATTTTGCTAACACGGTGCAGACCCTAGTCACAAAGTCTAGGGTTAAGGCAAAAATAAAGAGAGGTAAAAGCAGACAAGATTTGAGTCAGGTCTCTAGTGACAAGATTTACGAATAGGAAGAAGACCGGTTCTTATTTCTCAGAGGCTGTAATACTGGTACACATTAGGCGGGCCACTAGCATGATTTTCCTCTGCACATAATTTTGACCTTTATGCACGTTGTTCTTAATCGGAGTTTATTTTTTTTATTTCTTTTTTGTGTATTGTTTTGATTATAATGGAAAATAAAGCTTGGTCCTTTTTATAGATGCTGTACTTGTCCCAGCATTTAATGTTTTTTTTTTTAATTCATTCACGTAGTGACTGGAATTGAACTACTTATGTTATTATTAGTTAGGTTAGGTATTTCGATACCAAAAATGGTTCAATCTATTGATTGCTGTTGTATAGAATAGGGTGGGAAGTTCAAATCAGACGAAACGATGATTACAATTTGTCGCCTACTGTAAAGTATATACTAACAAAATGCATCCAAATATTTTTTAAAGATATGCTCGATTAAATTCAATATAGATAATGCTACCTCAATTTGTAATAATTTAACGAGGTTTTGATTTCAAAATAATGGTGTATGCATTCAAGATTAGTCTAGAATTCGTGACGCGTGCCACGTATGATCTTCAGCTTCTCCAACTCCTGTCCGCGCGCAATTCCAGGATCGACATAGCACAACTGAAACAAAAACCAAAACGTTACCATCTTAACCACATTTCGACGAGACAGATAACAACACTGAGCAGAACATGTTCGAACCTGGTACATCGACTTCCTCAGTGTGTGGGCTCCTCTCTTTATTAATCTTTGCCATCCGACATTGTTTCTGAGAGATTCTTCCAGGTTTCTTGTTTTCTAGAGAGAGAAACGATTTGAAAAGTCAAAATACCGTTGCAGAGTGTGTCTTACTTCATTCAGAGAAACCGAACAAAAAAACGGGTACACAATTTTAGAATATCAATTTGAACTTTTAACAAATTTCAAAATGGATGGTATATTCTTACTTCAGAAGGATCAAAGATTAATAAGTTGTACTGCTTCTTCCCATTCTTCTGATGCTTAACCTGAATGCCAACTATGGTTCTTGAATGGCCATCGTGTTGGAAGTACAACGGCCTGCACAGGAAGCCTCATAGTAAGTTAAAATCGAGTTGAGCAAATCTGAAGGAAAAAAAAACAAAAACAACCTGTGGTTACAACAAATAAACAACTTACCGTTAAAAGAAAATAAGTACGATAAGAATTTTTGTGCTACTGACAGAATTCACTTACGTTTTCTCACTAATAGCAACACGATTATTGCCTGATGATATGCTAGCATTGTTGCCACGAAAGTAATTCCAAACCCATTCGGTGAGACCGTCAACCTGTTTGCAGCCTTCATTACCAGAGGAAACTCTCGGCGACAAGTCTACTTTCCCCTTCGATAGAAACGAGTCCATTGGTCCATAAATCTGCGAGATTTTCCTCTTGCCAAAGCCCACACAAGCAACTGAAGTATCCAACTCACAATCTTTATCCACAAAATCAACTATACATGCACGCAGACCAAAGGAACGTAAAAGTGCAGCGCATTCAACAGTTCCAATCCAGTTTCTCTTGCCGTGAATTTTCTGATCAAACTCATTCGAACCAAGAGTATCGAAACCCTTTTCCCAAGCAAGCTCGAGCCATCTTTGAACCGATCCAATATTAGGTACAAAACCAGAACCACCGTATAAAACCTGCTTGGCTTCTTCTCGTTGGCTTAGCAAATGAGAGCTAAGCATTTGGATATTACGCCATCCACACCCCCAACCAATATCCCATTCGGTACTCTGAAAATGATCGATATGCCCACACAATATACTTGAGGAGTTCCCCCATTCTAATTCCAAACATTTTCTCAACATTGTCATTAAATTTCCTTCGACTTTGTAGAATTTCTCCTTGTTCTGTGAGAGTACCAAAGAAGCGTACTTTTCAGCATCAATATTCCCCGAACAATCGGTTGTCTTAGCATCACACCTAGAAGAACTAGGCCAACATTTCAATGAATTTTCAGCCTGCATATAAAATATTATTCCGTACGTAAATTACCAATATCGGAGATACCACCAATAACTGAAGCATGCAAAATATCGGAGTATTTACGGAAAGTTTCCGACAAATTGACATCAAATTTATACAAAACTGCAAAATACTTTACTCGACTTAATTGTGTGATCATGTTGTTCATCTTTATATATATATATATATATATATATATATATATATATATATATATATATATAGACATTGACTCACAGGGAATATGTCACTTCAAAACTGCTGCAGAGATTTTAAAATTAGGGCAAAATTGATTAAAAAGGCCGTTACCAAAATAGAACACCGAAATAATCTAACTAGAGAAAATTGGAATCCAGAAATTAAAATCAGCAGCACAAACGAAAAGCGAAGAGGAATATATGAATACGTACAATTGGAGGTGGGCTAGGCGGAGCAATAGAGATTATCCGCGCGAATTCGAAATCTCTGCTGTAATCTTCATCGTCGAAATGCTCATTCGCGTGTCTGAAGAATTAAAAATTGAAAATATAAGAAGAAGTATTCAAAATCAAAGGCCAGAAGGAGAATTAAAAAGAGCATACCTCTGGAGTTCTAAGGATGGAACGCTTAAATTACAAATAGGGCAACTTGAAATCTCCATAGCTGAGCTTTGAATTTGAATTTTTTAATGATTTTTTTTTTCGAGAGTTTTGAAAGTGGAGAGGAATGAAAATTCATTCGGTAGGATTAAGCGCGGAGGAATGGGGTATTTATATGGTTGTTTTCTTGAAGATGTGCTTTTATTTGGTAGATTTCGATTTTAAATGTCATTTTGTACCTTTTTTTCGACTCCTATTTACAAAATTCAATACATCAAATTTGTAGTTATTCGTGTTGGCTTTCTAATGTGAATTAACTTAATTGGATGTATGGAAAGAAAGTTACGCATGAATGATTAAATACTATTGGCTACAATTTTGATATTTAGAATTTTTTCAGATTCAGATTGTAGATTGTTCATTCTCAAGTATTTTCCTAACATCCAATCTGACTGATTTAAATTCAATTAGAAAACCCACTCAAATGACTACCACTTTTGTGTATTGAGTTTTGCCTTTTAAACTGAAAAAAGTTCAAAATCACATATAAAATTTGAACATTATCGATAAAATTGAAACAAAATTGAGCATTTCAGACTTAGATCTTGGTTTTGTTATAACTTTTACTTACTTTAACCGCAATGGGATGCTCGAGCAATTATGACTCTCAAGTCGTAAATCGCAAGTAAAAATAAACAAAAAAAATTTATAAATAGTCAAATTAGTATTTATATGGAAACGAAACATATTTATAGTTGTGATGTTTAGAATAGTTCTCTTGTTTAGTATCATTAGACATGTTCCATAAATCTTTTTGAAGGGATTTTAATAATAATTTTTGGGTTGGATTTTGGATATTACTTTTATGAGATGCTACATTTGATGGTTTTGCACCGTATATCTATACAAATAACTATCCAATAAATCCATATATATTTTTGTATAGAATTATTATGTGCATATCAACAGTGTATGATCACCCGATGTATTTCAAACGAGTGTAGTATCTACAAAAACTGGATCTTACCCTTTCCCTCAATGAATCTCTAATCTACGGATATATCATCACTATTTATTGGGCGAATGGCAAAAAAACCCATCATATGGCACTAAAATGCATATTGGTCCACAAAAAAAAACAGTCTCTCAATTAAATCCATCCCCATGTCTTTAATCTAAAATACCCTCCATAATATAATTATCAATTCCATCAATTATGCTCTAACTTCCTTAATATTATACATTGACCCCGGATTTAAACGCATATATCACATTAACCCCCAGAATATTTTTTGTCATAAAATAATTTTTTTTCTGAATTTTATATTTCGGCCAGATTCCGGCGTTGACAATTTCTTCTTTTTTTTTTCGAAAACTTTTTTTTCCAGAATTTTTTTTCCGGCCGGTCTCCGGCGTTGACTTTTTTTTTTTTTTTTGATTTTTTTTTCTTAGAAAAAAAATATTTTAATTAATATTACTGTCTTGGCTACTAAATTACTGTCTCAGACAGTAATATTACAGTTTGGGACAGTAATATTATGAATATTATTTTTTCGAACAGTAATATTATTAAATATTATTGTCTAAAACAGTTAAATTACTGTTGGAGACAATAATTTAGCAGTCAAGGCACTAATAGTAATTAAAATATTTTTTTTAAGAAAAAAAAAATTCAAGAAAAAAAAAGGTCAATTAACAGTTAAGTTACTGTCGGCGGCAGTTAAACAACTGTTGGAGACAGTAATTTAGCAACGAATACAATAATAGTAATTAAAAATATTTTTTTTAAGAAAAAAAATTTCAAATAAAAAAAAAAAGTCAATTAACAGTTAAATTACAGTCTCCGACAGTTAAATAACTGTTGGAGACAGTAATTTAGCAACGAATACAGTAATATTAATTAAAAATATTTTTTTAAGAATAAAAAAATCAATTAATAGTTAAATTACAGTCTCCGACAGTTAAATAACTGCTGGAGACAGTAATTTAGCAGCCAAGACAGTAATACTAATTAAAATATTTTTTTTAAGAAAAAACAAAATTATAAAAAAAAAAAAAAAAAAGTCAACGGCGGCGACTGGCGGTCTCCGGTGGTGGCGGGTCAAAATTGAAATTAGGGTTAAAATTGGTTAATTGATGAAATTTGGCTAAATTAGAGTGTAAATCATGAAATTGGAGTTGAATTGGGTTTCAATCAATTAGGGTTAATTTTGGTATATATAAAAGGATTTTCCTTATTTGCAAATAAGTTTGAATGAGGTGGATTTATTTGAAAAACAAAAAAATTGGATGTCTCTCTTTTAATTAAGTGCCCTTGTCATGGGTTTTTTTGTGATTTAACCCTTATTAATTAGGGATATCACGAAAAGAAAATTTATCATATGATGGATGATTAATAGTTGACTTATTGACCGGTCAATATACATTGGACTAGAACTCAAGACCGGCCATTCATAAGATGAAATAGAACTCAGTATAAGCCCATTTAAGCCCATTACAACTACACGTGATGTTATTAGTTTTGTATATTTGCCTGAAATTCCATGCCTAAATAAAACTTATATGTAAAGAAGTATCAAATTTCATGGTTTTCTTTTTTCTTCCTCCCCAAAACCCTAATATCGAATGCGGTTATTTGTATGTTACCATTGATGGGTTTAGTTCGGCAAGCTTGGGTTGAACTGTTCCCAAAGTTGGGTCTCCAAGACGAAACAAAGTGAGTCATGAGAATTAAAGGGATTTAACGGTCCGAAGACATATTATCAGAAGTTATAGCGCACAAACAGCTCGTCACTAGAAAAGAGAAGACCTCGCTATCCAAAAGGACGCCAAAAGAAGAGTTCGCCAAAATGTTGAAGGACGTCAGGGAAATGAAGATTCGGAGGGAATCAAGATGTGGTTAAAGCAAGATGTCATATTTTCATTCCATGGATAGATTAGAAAAGTAAATCTCGACTAATGAAGAGATTCTAAAATTATAGAAATGTCTATTAAGAAATTCCCTGATTAAACAAATGTAAAGGGCCGGTTACAATCACAACGATTCAATTATCAATAACACACTAGTTCTCTCTTGTTTTCATCTTTTTCCAGTCGATTAGTTAGTAATACCGGCACCGAAAGGAGTCTCCGACGAATAAAGAAATTGGACTCAAAAGGAGGTTTTGAAGGTGCAAATATTGCACCATCAACTATTATCGGAGATAATTTTACTCTCCATTATTGAAAAAGAAAAAGAAAAAGAAGCATATATGGATCTTCAACGGAATATTCTTTCCTCCAACACAATAACACAAGGTTCCATGAGCCAATTGAAAATTGAAATAATTTCTGACCCTATTTTGTAAGTTGTGCAGACAATTTCAGACCATAATTTCAATCAAGCATGTCAAGAATATTTAGTCTAAACTCAACTCAAGTATGAATTAATTTTACTAAAAAATTTGGATAATTATAAATCTTAAATATTAAATAATCACATATTATATTATAATGGACAATTCAAATCATAAAAAAATCAATCGTTCTTCCCACATTTTAATAACGTCAGACAAAGTGTTATTTTTTAGTAATGAATGAATCCACAGTCAACCTGCATACATACCGTTAGTATCGAATATATAAACATCACGAAGGCACTTTTTTACCAATCAGTAAGTAACATTGGTGGCTAATTAAATTAAAGAAAATAAATATTGAAAACGTAAAAATTGTGACGAATTCAATGATAAATTGATTTTTCATCCTCATTGATGGTTTTAGACGATTTATTTATTTCATTCGTGTTTCGAGAATTATTTAATAGTTTTTAAATATTAATTAATAACCCCACTTTTTAGAGGTGTAGCTAATAATATAGTAGTTTAAATCATTGTAACGTGTAAGGATGGTTTAGCAGGAAAATATTATGCAGATAATTAGTCAAATTGGGAATAGTCTCTAGATCTCAATTTAATTAGTATTTAAGAGATCCAAGTCAAATGTGATGGTTTTTATCAACATTTGGATGGTGTTTGCAAATTATTATTTAAAAGTAGAAGTTAGTAATTGTACGTTAAGCTAGTTTTAAGTGCTTATTTTTAAAAGTTGGGAATGTTTGCAATTATTTCGGAAAATGAACTTAAATAGAAAAGGTAGGGTTAGATGTGCTTTTAAAAAAATAGCTTAAAATAAATTATTTTTAGCGAAACAAAAACAAAAGTTGATTTTGCAAACACCTGAAAATAGATTATGAGCAAATAAAAGCTCATAATCACTTTCAAAAAGCTTTTGCAAACACCACCTCAGTTACATTGAACTTGGACACTTCTCACGACAAACGTATGATATGTTTTAAATGATAACAACGTTCTCGACGCGTGAATGTTGAGTTTTACTATGGATCTGTCTATTCTAAATTTGTTGACAATCTATAAGTTTGATTCCTAAAATTAAAAATCATAGCTCGATAGGACGACGGTGAATTATGCTAGAACCCATAGGTTTACGACCAGCGCACAACTCTGTCCGGCATATAGTGTTTGCAAAAACTTTTAAAAATAGATTATGAGTTTTTTTTAACTCGCATAATCTGTTTTTAGATGTTCGCAAAACAAATTTTTGCTTTTGTTTATCTTAAAATAAGTTGTTTTACGCTATAATTTTAGAAGCATCCATGTACCTATTTTTTCTATTTTAATTGATTTTCTAATTTTTTTACAAACACACCCAACTTTTAAAATTAAGCACTTAATATCAATTTAACATACAATTACTAACTTATGCTTTTAAATAAGTTTTTGCAAACACCACCATAGAATATGTGACATTGACAATAAACAAATAATTATATATGTTTATCAAATCACAACCGGCCAACCTATTAAAAAGGATAACTTAAAATCTTGAACTACTTCACTTATAATATAATATAATTAAATTGGTTCAGTAACATTTCATTTCATTTTACGTTATAGTCATTGATTTTTTCACAATATACGATATACGACCGTTCGATAAAATTAAAGTGAAATATGTCATATTCAAATAAAGTATTGCTGACATATATATATGGAGGCCAAGCAGAAACATACAGCAGACTGGTAGAC